GTAGCGAAGGTGCATATGGGGCCGTAACAAGGCGCTCCACTTCGCGCCCAAGTTGAATGCTCGTAATTTGCTCAGCCATAGCTGGCAGGCCTGATACCCCAACAGAGACTTCCACGCTTGTTTGTAAGTCGAAACGAGGCCTTAGTTATTGTCTTGGGACATCCATCAACAACTGTGGTCAAGTGGCGGGGGAAGAAAAAGATAAGATGCAGCCGGTTGCCCCGACAATGAAGCGGAAGTACGGAAGCCACTCCGCCTGGCAATTATACTGTACAGTACACTATTGTACTGTAACTTACAATCCTCTTCTAGAATACTAATACAAGAGAGAGCTCTTGGAAAACAAGATAGAATTCAATTGAGGAAGAATCGAAAACAACAAGACCAAGCCTATTTCCTCGAGATAACACATCATCTAAACAATCGTCAGATCCAGTCCCTTGAACAAGGGTCCCATGTTGTTGAGCCCCTTGGCAGGCACAGCAGTCGGGGTTCTGACCGAAGTCGAGCAATCCCGATTCCCCAACGCTGACCCTAGGATCTTTTGGAACCAAGATGAGGGGAAATGCGAGTGCCGGACGTACGTGCGCTTCTCATCTGCAACGGCTTCTTCATTCACCCTCGGCTTTTCTTATCTTGATTTCTGTATCATTCTCGGCCGATTTCCGATCTTTGCCAGTCCTCATTATTAGCTCCGATGGCGTTAACCGGGCTGGCTCGCAGATGCACGAAGCTAGGGCACCCCCAAAGAAAGCCAATTTCTCCGAAAATATCTCTCTTCCTGCTTTGCGAAGTCATTGCGTCCTTAATTGATTGCTCTTGATTTCTTTCCCTTCAAGTCCATCTTTGGCTTTTCTGTCAATCCTCAATTTATACTGTGCATAATGCGGGCTCTCGTTCAATTGCCTCGGGTCTTCCCCGCATCTCCCCGCACGAGGGTGGCCGCCCACTGTCGCCCACCGACTCTTCTTACACAGCACAGAACCGTCCGCTTGCGAAGTGACGTGAGTCCTCCCAGTCTGAAGAATAACTCGAGCAAGAATCGGGACTCGGATTCTTCAAGTGACAGCAAGCCTTCGGGCTTTGGCTCCTTGGGCAACACTCTTCTATTATCCGCATTGGCTGCCGGGGCCGGTTACGCATATGCAGTCACTTCTAAGAAGGCACAATCAAGCCAGCCTCAGTACGGGTCAGGGAAGGACTTTAAAAAGGTAGGCAGCTATCCTACTAATTTCACCAGCATACTGCAAGATACATGTAACTGATCGAGTCGGCAAACTAGGCCATTGCAGAGCTGCGAGTCGTCCTAGGCGAGGATGCCATCAGCACGGACGAGGACGATCTTCAGCGCCATGGATTCTCAGAATGGTCCAGTGTCAATGCAGACCGTCTACCGGTCGCGATCGCGTACCCGAATAACACTGAGGACGTCTCCAAAATCGCTCAGATATGCCACAAATATCGGATGCCAATGGTTCCTTATTCCGGCGGTTCCAGTCTCGAGGCCAATTTTTCTGCCCCGCACGGAGGCTTGACTATAGACTTCGCTTCGATGAACAAGATTCTCGAGTTGCATGAATCCGACATGGACGTTGTGGTGCAGCCCTCGATCCAATGGATGGATCTCAACGAGAAGATCAAGGACAGTGGCCTTTTCTTCCCGGTTGACCCCGGTCCATCTGCAATGATTGGTGGTATGGTTGGCACAAATTGCAGTGGAACAAATGCTGTGAGATATGGAACTATGAAAGACTGGGTCATCAACCTCACGGTTGTCCTGGCCGACGGTCGAATTATCAAGACACGTCGCCGTCCACGCAAAACATCGGCAGGGTATAATTTGACGGGACTGTTCGTAGGTTCCGAGGGGACACTTGGTATTGTGACTGAGGCTACCCTCAAATTAGCTCCTATCCCAGAGCAGACACGAGTTGGCGTCGTGACCTTCCCGACCGTGCGCGATGCTGCTTCGACCGCCATGCAGCTTATTCGACAAGGTATCCTGGTACAGTGCGTGGAAATCTTGGACGAGGTCCAGATGGACGTCATCAACCGGGCCGGTGGCACCGGACGCACGTGGAAGACGTTGCCCACACTGTTTTTCAAGTTTTCTGGCACGAAGGCAGGGGTCGCTGACAGCATCAACTTAACCACCAAGTTAGCCAAAGGGAACAATGCCAGCTCCTTTGAATTTGCACGAGACGAGCGTGAAGCTCATGACCTGTGGTCTGCGCGGAAGCAATCACTGTGGAGTATGCTGTCGCTAAGGGAAAAGGGGTCTGAGGTATGGTCTACAGACGTTTCGGTGCCCATTTCCAGACTGCCAGATATCATCGGTAAAACCTATCCATGCAACTGCACGTGGGCTTTGCTAATCTGGAAGTAGAAATTTCTAAGAAGGAACTAGACAATCTTGGCCTGTTTGCCAGCATTCTCGGGCACATCGGTGATGGGAATTTTCACGCAAGTATTCTGTACGACCGCGGCGATCCCAAGGAGCTGGAGCGAGTAGAGAAGGTCGTGTACGATATGGTCGATCGGGCCCTGGAGATGGAGGGTTCATGCACTGTACGATATAACCACCCCCCCCCCCCGGTTGTCCGTTCGATGCACATATGGCTGACTATTGAACAGGGCGAACATGGTGTTGGTCTGGGCAAGAAGGGTTCCTTGAAGAAGGAACTTGGTCCGGACACGATAGATGTTATGCGCTCTATCAAGCAATCACTCGATCCCCATTGGTTACTCAACCCAGGGAAGATCTTTGATTATGAACGTAGGGCATAGAATGCATTTCCATATGAAAGAGTCTCCATTGCAATTCGGATCATTCTCAAAATGTACTGGTACAAATGGCCATTTCGAAAAAATTGAATGATTATAACATGACCTTAGTCTACTGCTAAGTCAGGTTTATCTACTCGAGTACGATGAATCGGTACTAGAATATATAGATTCCCGTCTTTATTCCTGCTTACCTACTCCGTGCCCCTTAGTCAAGCATTTTCGTCATCGGCCGTTTTAGTAAAGACCGCTCAGGAACACACGCTCTAGCCAATAAAAACCGAGAGAACTATGCCCGAATACGGTGACTAAGCAGGGCTGACTCACCGCGGGGCAAATGGCTCCGGAGCGATATCGCAGTGTCCCGCTCCAACGCCACGGACTTCTCACTCTCTTTAGTTTCTATCCCAAGTGTCAGGAGGTAAGTACTATTGTGCTTTTGTTCAATTGATGTTTTGAGATGTGATTGCTTCAACAAAACCGATCTTCAGCATTCACGACCAGTCCCTGATTAGGTTCAGTGAGACCTTCCATGAGTGGGGTATCGCTTCAACTTGATCTGCTCGACTGGTTTGCTGCGAGCTGTGAATGATTCGATCCTATTTCCGGATCTTTTGTGCTGTTTTCGATTGGAATCATCTCCATAATTGCGATCTCACATGAACTCAAGTAACTGACAGCATCAGGATCAATAGTCTAGACTCGCATAATGGCCTCATATCCTAAGAAGAAGTGCGGTAAGAAGGCCTTGGACAAGGAATGTATCTGAAGAGAAAGTTAGTACTGATTCAAGGCAGGTGTCCTCGGAGCCACTGGCTCAGTTGGCCAACGGTTCATCCTCCTGCTTGCCGACCACCCTTTCCTGGAACTGCACGCCGTCGGTGCCTCGGAGCGCTCCGCTGGAAAGACCTACAAGGATGCTGTGAGATGGAAGCAGACTACGGCTATGTCCGAGAAGCTCAGCAACCTTGTCCTTCGTGATTGCAAGGCCGAGCAGTTCGCCGACTGCGACTTGGTCTTCTCTGGACTCAACAGTGATGTGGCGGGCGATCTCGGTAAGAGGCTATCCCTGCAACGTCTCTGGAAACCTATTGACCAAAAGCGTCGCAGAAATGGAATTTATCAAGGCCGATATCCCCGTTTTCTCCAATGCTAAGAACTACCGCAAGCATCCCCTGGTCCCGCTCATTGTCCCTACTGTCAACCCTCACCACTTCGACCTCATCCCTCACCAGAGAAAGCACTTTGGCCTGAAGAAGGGCTTCCTGGTCTGCAACTCTAATTGCGCCGTCATCGGCATCGTCATCCCATTCGCCGCGCTCCAGGCCAAGTTCGGTCCTGTTGTCGAAGTGGAAGTCTTTACTGAGCAAGCTCTGTCCGGAGCCGGTTACCCTGGTGTTCCCAGCATGGACATTTTGGACAACGTCATTCCGTTCATCAGCGGCGAGGAGGACAAGCTCGAGAATGAGGCGCAGAAGATTCTGGGTTCTCTGAATGCTGATGCTACTGGTTTCGAAGAGCAAGCCGGCCTCAGAGTAGGCGCGACTTGCACTCGTGTTGGAGTCACTGATGGCCACATGGCATTCGTTTCTCTGCGCTTCAAGAACCGCCCGGCGCCCAGCGCAGAGCAGGTGGTTCAAGCGATGAGAGAATATCAGTCCGAGGCGCAGAAGTTGGGTGCCCCGTCGGCTCCTGCAGAGGCTATCAAGGTTTTCGACGAACCCGATCGGCCTCAGCCCAGACTTGACCGCGATATTCACAAGGGATACACCGTTAGTGTCGGACGAGTCCGTGAGGGTCAAGAAGGTGGCTATTTCGATATCCGATTTGCTGCCTTGTCGCACAACACCGTTCTGGGCGCTGCGGGATCGTCTATCCTCAATGCTGAGGTTGCCGTGATTAAGGGCTACATCTAGACATTCTAGATAATAAAAATGTATATAGAGACTTGGCTTAGCTTCTTTCTCTGATAAACAGCTTGAGAACCTAGCAGTCGGTGTCAACAAAGTGACGACCGAAGTAAGTAGATGTCTTGACACGTGAAAGCCGAGTGACCCACTTGCAGTATTACATAATGAGAAAGACCGGTGCAAGCTAGTCTTCTATCAGCTTAGCGTGAAATGAACCCAATTTCAACGGGGTTAGGGCTCAACCCGCCAGCACCGGACGCTAAGCGAAAATTGAGAGCGCCCTGGATATCAGCAGCTGAAGTCCCTGCCCCAACCGTACCTTCTCTTTCGCGACACTTCGACAACTTAACCGGTTCAAGTCGACAAAGCAGCCAAGATGCCTCGCGGACCGTAAGTCCTGAGCCTCACCACACGAATTGTGACTTTCATGCGACTGCGACCATGTTCGGCGATTTTTTCGAGACTTTTGAGTCGCAGGAGCAGATGGTTGCAAATTCAATTTGGAAGTGAGGATGGAAGAGCTGACTCGATTGATCGTGCAGTAAGAAGCACCAGAAGCGCCTTAGCGCGCCTTCGCACTGGCTCCTGGACAAGATGTCCGGAACCTATGCTCCCAAGGCCTCCCCCGGTCCCCACAAGCTCCGTGACTGCCTGCCCCTGATTGTCTTCATCCGCAACCGGTACGAACCCTCGAGCGACACGACGCGATCTCCGACCCTCCCGGAGGAACAGCGGCTAACAGCGAATATAGTCTCAAGTACGCCCTGAACGGCCGCGAGACCAAGGCCATCATGATGCAGCGTCTGATCAAGGTCGACGGCAAGGTCCGCACCGACCCTACCTACCCTGCTGGCTTCATGGACGTCATCGGCATCGAGAAGACCGGCGAGAACTTCCGCCTGATCTACGACACCAAGGGTCGCTTCACCGTCCACCGCATCCAGGCTGAGGAGGCTGAGTACAAGCTCTGCAAGGTTAAGCGTGTTCAGCTTGGCAAGGGCGGGATCCCATTCTTGGTTACGCACGATGCGAGAACGTGAGTGCATGCTCTCTACAAGTTCCGTGTCATTCAGTCGTTGGACCAAGCTTTGGTTGATCGGCGGAGGACGAAAGAACCGGAACGACGGTTTCTTTACGGGAACATCGTAAGGGGCCATATGGATTGAACATTCATGCTAACAAGGCTTATCACAGCATCCGCTACCCCGACCCCGCCATTAAGGTCAACGACACCGTCAAGGTTGACATCACCACTGGCAAGATCGCTGACTTCGTCCGCTTCGACACCGGTGTTGTCTGCATGGTTACCGGTGGTCGTAACATGGGTCGTGTTGGTGTCGTCACCCACCGTGAGCGCCACGACGGAGGTTTCAACATCGTCCACATCAAGGACGCCATTGACAACACCTTCGCTACCCGCGAGTCCAACGTTTTCGTCATTGGCCAGGACAAGCCCTGGATCTCCCTCCCCAAGGGCAAGGGTGTCAAGGTACGTTACCTTTCCAGCATTCTGGCATGCATGTCAACTTGAGACTGACCGATTCTCTTTTAGCTCTCCATTGCTGAGGAGCGTGACCGCCGCCGTGCCTACGCCATCGCCAACTAGATGCAGTTCGGTAAGTGTCGTAGGATACAGCAAATCAAAAAGCTTTGAAAAATTCCGCTGGGGAGACGACGTCTTGTCTTGCTTTGTGGGCCTGTATGACGCCGGTTACGATAATATGAAGCCTTATTCGGAATCAAAAAAAGAGAAAGTTCCGTCCACCGGATATTCCACATTGGGCGTGTCCATGTCTACCACATCCTGTAGGCTTCCACGTACCATAGACGCAAAGCAAGGCATTCTCCTAGTGCTTCTTGTCCTCTCACCTAGTCGTATTTTTACTTCATGCTGCCAATAGCGGAGATTCCCAAGTCTCGTAGTCCGCCGTCTTACCCTCCCCAACCCAGATTAGCAATCCAACCTACCCGGGATGGCCTCAACTCGCCGGGATAGCTTAATGGATCAATCACCAGTCCTTTGCTGGTCGGAACCTTGAATTGCGGCCCCATTCCCAAGAAAGTCCACTCATCCGCCGGGCCGTCCCCTCCTGACTAGTGCAATCAATCAATCATAGGATGTCTCCTCTTTTAGTTTTGAGACATCCATTTCCACTCCCTCCATGGAGCATTGGAGTCCTATGGAGAAGTCCCCCCCAGCAAGTCCCAACCGGGCCGATGGATTCATGGCTTAAGCTAGTGAGAGTGGACGCAACGCCCTTCCATCGATTTTCTTTCCTAAATTGGCGGACAGGGCAGGCGTTATCGTACCAATCCTACCACGTACTTCTGACTTCCTTTGGCGCACGATGGGTGAGGTCGAAAGTCCAGGTTACCGCTCATATCTAAGCACCAAACACTAAACATCGCATAGGCTTTACCAAGAACGGGGCCTCGGAGTAAATGAAAGAGGAGGCAACTGACTCACTGACTCCGATCTCACATGCGCCCATTCGACGCCCATTCGACCTGTAGAGGTCGCAATATCTGCTAGACCAACGAAGCGGTTTTGTCATCTCAAGGAATAGTTAACTATTCCTCCGCATACTTGTGTAAAGTTGTAAGTGCCCCCCTTCTCCCGCGAAGTAAGCCGCTCCACCCATCCATGGACCATACATGTGAAAGATAACACGTCTACTTCCCCCATCTGCATGCCGATATAGATCCTCCGTCTTCCCTCCAATTCCCTTCTGGCTCTCTAATGCACCCATGAGGGGGACTGCAAGAGGATCGAGCCTAAGAGACCCCGGCTACAGCTGCTACAGCGGCTACAGCTGCTACCACGGTAGTAGGTAGTAACTTACTTCCAGACCATTCAATAATCCTTGCCTCTTGTCCAGGGAAATTTGGGACCGATCAATTTTTTTTTCTATCCCGGCTTCCTGCTGTTCTCCTTCCTCCGTCCGATTAGGCCGATTTTCGGTCTTATGGCGTACGAAACATGAGACTCATTGAGCACCGACCACGCAGCCTCGAACACCTGTTGGGTTCAGACGCCTTTCGGTCAAATGACAAGTCATTCTTGTCAGTTGATCTTCGCCCGGTTCTGGGGCACCAATTGTGATTGATATTAGCCAGACGCAGCCGTGTCAGTGATCCAGGTTCTAATAACTGTTGCCCCGACATTGTGGGAGATCAGGTCAGCACTGGCGCTCGGAATCGATCGGGAAAATGACGATTACGATCATTCGCTCAGACCTTATTGCCTTTCCTTGGTAAAATCGGTTCCTAGGGCTTGTCAGCTTGGGTGGATGTTTTTTCCTAGAATTTTTTCATTATTGCTTTCCCCTCTTGCATGCTTTTCCTCTTCTTGGGGCGCGCCATCGAGGTTGCCTCTCTACTGGCCCGTCTGCCCGGCCTGGGCAGGATACCGACAGGAGTCGTCCGAATGAGCGAACCGAAGACGACTCACCACCGCCGTTGAGTCGGCGTGCACCCAGCTTGTGCCACTACATTGGTTGGTTGAAAAAGGGTGCTGGCAGGCTCTGCCAAATGGTTGCGGAGAGGCCCCGATTGCGGAGAAGTTACTCAGCATTCCATCCGCTTGTTTGGCAGATGAGCGCAAAGAATTTATATCTACCACTCAGGGTTGGTGGGATGGTGTTTAATACGTAAGCCACTGTCACTGATCTTGACCCCCTTCACACGCTTCAACACGCACATACCCACGCACCACCACGACCACCACCACCACACTTTAACTCCGAGTCAGGTGTCATGCATGCTGCAAGCGATGGACCAATCTGGGTGGACTGCGCAAGCCCAGGATCCGAACAAAGGTCGTTACTTCGGCAGGGTCGCTGGCTGTCTTCTCCTCTCGCGCGCTCTGTCTGACTTAACTGATCTATTCTCGTGCTTAGTCATGAGAGGCTAAAAAGGGCATCATGGACATGATCGATCTCTTTTTTGCTTCTTCTGTTTTGATCATAAACTACGGAGTAGATCCGTGGAAGAGGTTTTCAACAACCGTTGTTCCTTCCCGCAAGTGACGATGGCCCGCATTTTACCAGAAGACTCCGACGTGGTTCAAGAGCATTATGATTGCTCTTGCAACCGCCGTTGTTCCCGTAGCTTTCATGCTTGTAGCCATGCAGCCATTCACCCACCATGGCTTCCCGGTCTTCAGAGTCTGGACTCAACAAACACCCCAGACTACCTAGTAGACTATCAGCCGGCTTGGTCACTATCCTTGATCTCTATCAGGCCTTCTCTACGGAGTAGGGTGAACAGCTCAAGAGACACAGCCCGTCTGGTTGCTGCAGGCAAGGTCACTACGGATGCTAGTGGTCGAATTCGACCATGTTAATGGTCACACAGCCAAGAATCTGGACAGCATCACTTTACGCCTGTCCCCGCTACGAATTTAGACCAGACTAAGTACATAGAGATGGAGAGAGAGAGAGAGAGAGAGAGGGAGAGGGTCTTGTCTCGCCCCCGGAGTTCCCTCGCTGATGGAAGCCGTTCCTTTCCTTATTTTCCTTATTTTCTTCTCCATTTTTCTATTTCTTAATTGAGTATTTTCTTTCAATTCCCTCTCTCTCGTTTCTCTCTCTCGTTCACTCGGTTGAGCATCTTGGCGACAGGATTTACTGTACCAATTGGGATGACAGTGACCGACTTCTGATATCAGTCCGACCTCGGATAGTAATTCCGTTCACTGAGAGCTCCTCAAATCTATCCATGGCACGACGTGGTCTGAGAAATAGAGAGAGAGAGAGAGAGAGAGAGAGAGCGGGACGGTATGACGACCTAGGCCAGGTAGGTAAGGGAGAGGGAGGGAGGCAGGCATTCTGCAGGCTGCAAGCTGCACCCAGTTGCAGCATAAGGACTTGGAAGGCTGATAGTAGAGTTTTCCCGGGATAAGAAGGAGGAATGAGAAGAGGAGAGCAGAGGAGAGGAGAGTGAGGGGGTGGAGTCAAAAGAAAAAAAAAGGATTGAGGTGGAGGGTCCAAGCGACAATTGCAAATGGATACATCGCATCGATGCATTCCGATTCAATTGGGACCAGGGTTTCTGAGTTGACGGGCCTCCCGCCCGCGGCACGGCACTTGATCTTCCCTTTCCACTACGGAGCAAGTAACCACAGTACATGTAATCTGTAATCACTTTCATAGATAGTCGAGTCTCTCTCAACCTCTTTACTTTCTTTCTCCGTAACAGGATTCAATTCTTCCCCTGCGCCACACTATCAGGAAACCCCACCCACCGTGGAGATGCACTACTATTCGTTAAATTTGTTTTTTTTTGATTTCTTGATTTCTTTGGGTGATCCATCAATATACACCTCAACTCCATACCTAGTCAATATCTTCTTGTCGGGAAAGCCATCCAGTCGCGCATTGGTCTCTTTTTACTCGTACTCAACTCACGCTCGGGTGGATCACCGCATGTCTTTGCCGTTACGTCGACGGTCGCCAACAGCCACGAGCTCCTTCGGTACACCATCCCTAGGGTGGTTGGCTTGATACACTGTTCACTTGCTAAGTTTTGTTTCTCTGGGCTTTTGTTGATGATAGTCCCGTCCACGCCATGCTTCGCCCCTTCTTTCCACCCACTCATTTCATTAGTTCACTAGTCACAGTACTTTTTTCTGTACTCTATGTACGTTAGTGAGCTTAACTTACTGTTTCTCCGACTGTTTACATACAATGTACTCCGTCCAGCGGAGTACTCCGTACTCTGAGCTGCTTCTGCCCGATTCGTGGAAGTCGTCAAAAGTCGCGGTCACACCAATCCCTCTTACGCCTTTGACACCTAGAGTGCTGAATGCAACACACTGAAGGTACCCTGATTAACTCAGACACCCACATCGAAGCATCGAACTCGAACAAGGAAAAGAAGATGGAATGGATGGGTCACCTCAGCCGTGGAAATTCCCTACCGGTAGTTTCAACTTTTGCCCCAGTCCGCCAGCTGGAGTGGTAACTTAAAGGGCACTTGACACTGCTGGTGGCCATGATTTCGGCCTGCCTTCTCCACCATCATCAGCTTGTTACGGGTATACAGCTATACCCTCGTCGCTGGGCTTCCTCGCCATTCGTTCAAACGGCCTTGAGAGTTGAAGAAAGCAACTTAACAAGGAACAAAAAGCCCGACTAAGTTAGGGCCCGCAGCAGCAGAGCCTAGTCGCTAAGTTAGCCATTGCTAGCCACTGCTAGCCACTTTCTAGTCCTTTCCCCCTCCCCGATCCATCATTTGCCTTAGCCCTTGCTACCGACTCTCCAGATGGTGGCAACTAAAGGTGGATTCGTACAGCTCCCATCTGGGTCTTCCCGAGAGATGGTGCCTTATAGGATCATCGACTATCACCGGCATCAGCATGACGAGCGAGACGATGGGTTCAGCCCCGTTCCTGGCGTCTGCTGAAGTCTGAAGCAGCCTCTTAGAGGAGAGGCCGCCCGGGGCCGGCTGAATGTCTTCGCCTCACGATCTCGGCCTGATGTATATTTGACCTCATTATTCATTCTCCCGATACACCGCTACAGCGATGGAGGTGATGCCTTCATTCATTCGTTCTTTCTTTCTTTCTTTCTTTCTCACACATACTTCCGCTTTCGCCCGTTTACCCTGATGAATGGAGTCTTGGGTGAATCTTCCAGAACCCAACGACTAATGCATGGCTAGATGTTCCATCCCGGCTCCTGACCGCTTCTCCTGCCATTTTCCTTTATCCTGGTTGGCTTTTTTCCCCTTTACCCCATATGCCACCTATTGATCCACCGCCGCCGTTGGCTGACAGCCATTCATTAATGGCTGGTATTATCGGTGGTGCTATTGCCAAACGGACTGGTCTTCGCTCGATGGCCGTTCCGATTCTCATCTGCCCTGCTGATTGTCTTCAGCCCATGTGGGGGTTGTTGCGTCGTCGCAACCGCCCCTAGACTAGATAGAATAGACGCCCTCCCCCAAGACCTAACGGCCCTATCCCAGGTCGCACGCGCTACCTGACCGGCGGTAGTGTGGTTGGAGACGATTCTGGCGGCGACCTGGACTGATTGGCCTGGGAAAGTCAGCTAGACGAGGTCTATTTCACGCCTTCAGCTTGTGGGTGTTGAGGTAATCTCCGTAGCTTCAGCCTAACCTGGCTCCCGGGTCCCAGTGGTTCGGATCAGCGCCAGCCATTTTCTATTGAGTACTCTCTTGATTATGATCTAATTTAATGCAGTACTGACCGTCTCCTGCCAGGGATTTTTGGATTTTTGGATTCTTGGATTTTTGGATCTTTATTTTACAGGTTCCAAGTTGATTTGATCATTCAAATCATGTCTCTTGTATGTAATGCGCCACTTGCCGCCATCCTTTTCGGCCGTTCGACCGCGTCAAGCAGCAAGATACCGCTCTGAACCCTCGTGAGTTGTCAAACGTGGCAAAGTGAGGAATAAGCAGTTCGCGGCTAGACATTGACCCATCTTCTTCAGAAACCTCGGGGCGAAAAAAGTGGAGGTTGCTATGACTTTTACCTTAAGCTTAGTATCACTAGAGTGATGGTGTGAATGTAATAAAAGCTTTTTTCTTTCTTTCTTTCTTTCTTTCCCTCTTACCAGGAGTAACTGTTTCCCCATTGTCGGTTCCTGGTTATAGTATCCATCATTTCCCCACCGGTGCTGCTGCTGACTCTCCTGCTCTGGCCTTTTTCAATGTACGCTACCATCATCCACTATTATTAGTGTCAGTTCACATCGACTACTGACCTTCCTGTGGGATTTGAACCCAATCTGTAAGTCTCCTCTGACGTCGATGGTCCTTTGGACATATGCCTGAATCCGGGACGTTCTAGAATCATAGCCGTTCAACCGTCTGCCGGAGATCTTGCTTCCGTCTATATCTCTGGGTAGTAGTCAGTGGTACAGAGACTAAACCAGGGAAAGGGAAGAAAGAAAAACAACTAAGAGAAAAAAAAAAAGAAAAAAAAAACCTGGGGTCTAATAAAAAAGAAGAAGAAGAAGAAGAAGAAGAAGAAGAAGAAGCAGAAGAAGAAGTCAAGGTGGTGTGGTGTGCAGCTAACTTACATGTGAGTTAAATCAGACTGACTGAGTGAGGGAATGCGTGTGGTGTGTACGATCCATCATCTACTACTATCTATCGGGGTCTTTCTTCTTACAGAACTGTAACCACCACCTCTCGACTACCACTCTATTTTCCTCTCTTTCTTTCTCTGTCTGTCCCCCGATTCCCCCTCTCTTCTCTTTTCCTCCCCACTCAAACCCTTTCCCCCCCTCCCTCCCCCCACTCACTGTAAAAAGGAGACACTTATTTTTTGAACACCGCGCCCGTCCCCTTCTCCCAAGACACCAATTTGGCTTTTTGGTCCTCTTCATTCTGACTTTCCCGTGGTGCAGCAGTGGGCAATGTCCACATACTCCCCTTCCTCCACTGGCGTGCCCGTCATGTTTGATCCACCGGCTTACCCGTCTCTCTTCCGTGCCGGGGCGGAGATCCCTCCGTTCTACATGAAATATCGCTGGTGGGAAGATGAGGCCATGACGATGCTGTGGGCCTTTGACATCCAAGAGATCAAACGGGCGATCCGCTTCGGCCTCTTCCGAGACGAGAGTCTCCCTCGAACCGCCTTCCAGAATCGCAATGCCAGTGCCATTGACGCCTTCTTGTCGGAGCTGGTCGAGCCCCATGAGAGGGCCTTCATCGGCAACCTCTCCCACATCCAGAAGGTGGAGGAGATCCTGCGCCGGTGCAGGAAGGCAGACCCGGCGCTGGCAACGTGGAGTTGGTTTCCCGCGCAAGGGAACCGGAACATGACTGCTATCGGCATCGCCGAAGACCTCGACCATGAAAGCCATCTGCATTTCACCCGGATTCCCTTCGAAGAGCTGGTGCGTTACTCGCTGGGCTACTCGGCCCTCTCAGTGGAGTGGTTCCTGCAACAGCATACCGCGTTGCATATTCACTTACTGCACCATCTTCAGGCATTTCCGGAGGAAGTATCACTGTATGTCGAGGTGGAACAGGTGCGTACAGTCCTACCAGGCCAGTGCTTGAAAGAGATGCTGACATTAGCGGGTAGCATCTTCGCAGCCGGAGCCCCTTTGCTCATCGGGCTGTGGTGGCTTGTTTGCGTGCTCTTCGAGGCGGGCAAATCGTGGCGAGTCCCACGACCCCAGGTTTCGAGTTCATCGCCGGTCCGATCCAGGAGCTGTTCAAAGAGATCTCGCCCAGCTTGAAATCTATTCTGAAAGTGCTATGCGTCTCGGCCGTGCGGTACAAGCAGGCATACGTGCATACGCGGCACATGAACTGGACTCGACCTTTCAAACTCAATTTGGCGTTCTTGGAAGACTTGACGGCGTCGACCTCGCCGCTGGACTTCGCCCGTACGATGGCCCATATCGATGAGGGGTATCTCACGGGGCTCTCGCAGAAAAGCTTCGTGGAGCCAGGGCCGGTGGTTAAGCGGGTATTTACAGAATGGGAGCTGTTAAGTATAGCGGTGTGGGAGTGTTGTACAGCGCTTCCCGAATTGGTGGGCTACATCCAGGAATGTGTACAGGTGAGAATCTTCTATCAGAGGCAAGATCCAGGAGAGAGCTAATCTTGAGATCAGGCTCTACTGATGGTGCGGAATTACCACTCCCTCACAGCTATCATCGACGGTCTTCGAAAGTACAGCATCAGCACATCCACTAGTGTCCCTTCCACCCAAATGGCCCCTTTCATGCTCCCTCCCGACTTCGAGCTTCTGTTGGACCCTTCTGAAAACTTCGTCGCCTACCGACAAGCATTCACCACCAACCCGGGCGTGCCCTTCCTCGTCCCTCATATCCGCGAATACCAGCAACATGGCCAACCGGCCTTGCAGCAGCTCTTCCAGCACATGCGGCCGTCTCCTCTACGCTCATGACCAATCCGAGCGCAGGCACGCTCCAGAAACCACAGCGAAGACTGTCGGACAACTATCTGCTGAACACCTGAGCACAACAATAGCGGAATTAAATGCAATACGGTGGCGTTCTCGCTGTGCCAGGTCAACTGAGTTTTACGACCAGTCGTCTCATAGGACAAATTAATCCTAGACCGGAAACCCATGCCTGACGAGGCTTGCTTCTTCTTATTTTGATCTATCTTGCGACAGACGTTATGCAGGCGGGCGATATTCCCGCCTGCCTGGCTGTTCTTACTTTTGGTTTCCTCCCATTCCTAATAGCCTTTTTCTTTTTTTTTTTCTTCGGATATGCTTGTTATTGCAGATTGTTCTTTGCGAGGGCTTTTGGTTCTATCTACTAGCGGGGACTGTATTTCTAATGCATCTAGATATTTAGCTGTTCATGACTCCAGCGGCAGATTGGGTTCGTATGTGATCGAGGCGATGTTTTGGGACAGGTCGTTCGAGTAAAAGAGGGAGATCCAATATCCCCTATAATCTATAGGCCCGTAGTGAGCCCCCAATAAAGAAAATGATTACCTTGGCTTCTGTCGGATGTACGGTACGGAGTACCCTTGGGGGGTGCTGCTGGACATGGGTGGTAGTCCTAGTGTAACTACGTGGGCGTCGATACATCACTTCAGTGTATGCAGTGGTGCTCCGCAATTCTGCCTTGATATGCAGCTGAACTTGTCTGTCCGGGGATCACGGAGTACTGATAATTGCTCGCCTATGCCGGGGAAGGGGAAAGTACGGGCCAGCAGCCTCCATCCATGCCTCCATGCATCGTCCATGGATCAGCCCTAGCGCTTGGCATTTGCTACGTATTGCCCTGTTGCTTCTGGCTCATGCGATACTGATCTATTCCTGCTTTTGGGGCGAGTCCTCTTCTTTACCTCAGTCATATGTCATGCGGCTTTTCCGGTTGCGTATGCTTGCAGAGGACATGTAAATAGTGTCAGAGTGAGCCATCAACTAACTTAGTTATCGGTATTGATATCATGTGAGGTCTGCTGCTAAGTCTTATAATAGTTACTAGTTGATGTCAAGTTCGAAGTGCACAACGTAGCTTCAACAACATCAACAACAGAGGTGGAGACCGACACCACAAAGGTTCAAGAACCAGATCTGGAGTGCACCGTCTTCCATCCTCCGTAGTATCAGCCTTAGCTGCAGACAAACCTCAAGGATCGAGTATTCGAAACCGAGGGAGCCGTCTAATCCACCGATGACTCTTTACATCTGTATTGTACGTACAATTAACCCAACCCCTTCCACCCGCCCGAAAATCCCCAGAAAAAGGCAACCAACCCCCTACCCATCCGCATTAACCCCAGAATCACTGCTGCCAGCTCAAGCAACCTTCCCACCACGTTTCTTCTTTTCTTTGATCCCAATTTTTCCAACTGGTGGTTGTTGTTGTGGTTGACGACACTCCCCCAACCACCCACCCAGAAACAAGACGCGATTCACCCCCAAGAACGCCGTAACCGCCACATTGCCCCAGGTCAGGGCGTTCCAGCCGCGTACATCGCAGAACCGCTCCCACCCCATCCCCCACCCCGTGGCGGCGATGTGGCCCACGTCCGCCGCCAGCAGCGCCAGCAGGTACTGCCGGATGACCGGGGGTTCCGTCGTGGTGCGCAGGATCCCCACCCCCAGCAGGGCCAGCAGGCTGTACAGGTTGCCGAGCTGGTAGGCTAGGGAGATGGTTTGGGGTTGGATGGGAAGAGGAAAGGATTGGGGATGGGGGATTTGGTCGGTGATGAAGGCGGGGAGGTTGATGAGGGGGCTTAGGGCTCCGGCAATGCTGATTAAGGGAAATTAGGCTTTTGTTTGTGCGTGATGTTTATGGGGCTATATTCTAGGTCTAAGGTGTAGGTATGAATGGACGTACAGTGAGATGGGCTCGATGATGCCGAAGATTAGGTTGGGCCAGGAGGGGAGAATGGTGGGCATCGTGGACGGTTGGAACTACCGAGCTTGAAGGGACTGACGGACTGCCGTGTTGTCTGGTTCTGATTGTGATGCGTCTACCAGATGGATGGCTTGTACTGATTCAATTGACGTTGGTGTCAATAATCAATCAGTGAGTGTATACCGGCAGTGCTCCGTATTTCACCCGATTGGGAAATACTGATTCAGCAAACCGGTTTTGCGCTTCTGGTGGCTTTCCTCGCCCTTACCCAGCATAGCCCCGAGATTCGACTCCGCCCGCGGCAGCAAGCACGTTACAATAGCCAAGTTGCGACGGAGTACCTCCCGAGTCACTAGCTGTCATTTCTACCTACTCCATACTTGACTTTCCATTTCATTTCTCTTCCCCCCAAAAAGAAAAACTTCCTACTCTCCATCCACTTTTGCTGGATTAATAGTCAACGACCCTGCAAAATGGCTCATGGCTACGTGGGGAGTCTCGTTCCATCTTTGATGATCTTTATCCCTGCTTTCATCGTTTGAATGCTACCCTCCTGGATTCCGTGAAGAAGACCATGGATTCCAACACTACCTTTACCCGATCATACGACGAATCGTTAATTCGAGAATTACCCCAGCTCCAGAGTCTCCGCATAGCTCCTCTCCGTCAGCCCGTCTCGCGCTTGCTGAGCGTGCCTTCGCCGCTGGAGCCGAATGCCAGCCGAGTCCGCGAGGCCACCGCTGCTCCCACGCCCATTAGCTCGGAGGGCATTCTGCCTGGCCCCCGGAATAATGATTCCGTGACCGCGGTTCCCGCGGAGCGTCTGAACCATGCATCGCGGCCGCCGAAGAAGAAGACTGATCCCTCCGTGGACTCGCTCCTTAGCCTCGAGCCCCCGCCGCCCAAGCCCATCCTTCCCGCCTTTGTTAATCTCCGTGCTCTAGAAAGATTCCCTTATTCATCGTTCGACGATGATTCCCATCATCCCCGCAAGCGGCGCCGCGTCGGGGTGCAGGCCGAGACCTTCGCCGAGCATCTGCAGCTGCCCATCCCGCAGGCTCAGAAGGAACAGCGCCCACCCCCATTCGGGCCCTTTGCGATCCTCAATGGGCTCAACGAACCTCCCCCTAATGCCGCTCTTCTGCCGCCCATCGAAGCCGGCTCCAGCCTCACGCAGCTGCTGACTAAACCCTCCCGGGACAGCTCGGTCGTTGAGCCGGCTTCGCTGGCCACTTCCTTCGGGGAGGGTCCGACAGGCGAAAGACGAGAGGGCAGGATTGAGGATATCCTGGCCTCTCCCATTGCCACGAAGACGGCCCTGAGCGATCGCGGTGGCGCTGTGGTCATCGGACTACCAGACGACCCGGTCGCCCCGAATCGGCCGCCGCCATGTGACAAGACCGACGACGGGGAATCGGACGACAAGAAGTCATCCTCTGCCGACGAAAATGAGGAGCCCATATCCCCTAAGACACGGGGCCGTTCTCGTAAGAACCTTCGCAAGTGGACAGAGGAGGAAACCACGGCTCTGTTACGTGGAGTGGTCAAGTGCGGCATTGGGAACTGGACGGCGATCCTGGCTCAGCCGGAATTAAAGTTCAACAAGCGCAGCGCTTCCAACTTGAAAGATAGGTATGGTAAACAGCCATAGCTTCGAGGTGGATTGTACTATGGAGACGAGATCTAGGCCACCAACTGAACACAAATCTAGGTTCCGCGTATGTTGTCCCTGGGCCTACCGGTAAGTCCTCGGTTCTGTGGAAAGCAAATCAGCACCAATTCCAAGCTGACTGTCTACAAGGGCTGCCGACCCGAACGAAGCCACGCGGCAATTGCACGACACTCTGGCTAACGCCCTCTCGCGGGCCGAGACGGAAGGATCTGATGGCACAGCCGGGAAGATTCACTTGCCGCCCCCCCGACCAGCCAATGCGGAGTCCCTCTCCGTGGGGAGCAGCGTGACGGTTGGCTTGAATGAGCCATCTGGAAGTAGCGGCAGCAGCTCCTCGAACACCAAAGAGACCGCTCCGAAGACCACCAACTCTAAGCCGAATTCCACGGCCAAGGCAACTCCTACGCTAACAAGCAAATCCAAATCGACCTTGGAGTCCCTGGGTATCCCGGAGCCACATTTTGCCATGAAATCCCGGCGTCGTTCCCGACGGCCATTCACCGTGGCCGAGGACGAAGCTCTACTCAAAGGGTATGCGGTGCATGGGTTCCAATGGACACTGATCCAGCAGGATACACGGCTGAACCTCGGCCATCGCAGAGCCACGGACCTGCGCGATCGGTTCCGGACCAAATTCCCGCACGCGTACCGCGATGGAGGCTCTGTGAGCGGTCGAACCCTCCACGACCAGGGGAAGGAGGCTTCCGACGCGAGAGATGACAACGACAGTACGAGCTCAGGCAGTAAGCAGGGGGCACAACCTTCCAAACCCCAAGAAACACGATCCGATCTCCCAGGCCAGTCCACCCTAGGACCCATCGATCCTGCTCTTCCTCCGCCTGCTCCGCCTCAGGGTCTGCTAGAAAGCTCATCTAATGCAGCTGCGGCTGCAACCGCCCCGGCGCCGGGTACCGGTGCCGTATTCCCCTTCCCACTGGACGAAAACACAGGGACTAGTGATAACACCTCATGGACGGATAATACATTAGCGCCGATGGTGTGGGATGAGATCGGATAGCGTATCCTGCATGATTAGCCTCTTCCCCCAATTTCGCTTGTAGATTCCGGGTGTTATCCCTGCCTAATGACTCACGCATGTTGCAAATTCTACTTGATATTCTTGGCTCGGTTTCTACTCACTGGTCAATGGTTCGTCCCTATGGAATCAGAACCATCGCGTATGTTCAAGGATATTTGACTTGTCTCGATGTCCAAAAAATAGCCAGGTAGCACAGTACCTCTTACCACCTTAGTTTCCGGTTTTCTCCTACGATCGCGCCGACAATACCTCGCTAGCAAACCCACTGCAGTCAACTTCCAGTCCCTTTTCGGACCAACCACCATTCAATCAACCACGGCAACCTCAACCTCATCCAGGAAAGACACAGCATATAACGTTACAATACCGTATAAAGCAGCCTTTCCATGCCGTCCAGACATAACCCAAGTGCCGCCAGGTAACAGCATCCCATCTCATCTCATCGGCACTACTACTCGGCACTCATATGCAAGTGGGTCAGCTATAGCGCACCCCTAAGAAGCACTTTATCTTTATCTGTATTGTATCTGAATTTGAATCAGGAAAGATGCGTTACGTTTCATGAGTCGGGCAGGGGTTATCATGCACCGGATCCGCATTCTTTCATGGTTGCGGATTTACCCGGGGTGTGGATGCACAGGGGAAATAAGGGGGTAGGGCAGGGTAAGGTAACTTGCATGCATACCGCACCTGGGCTGATACATTCCTTTGGGGTGGAGGGAGGGTCCGGGATGGAGGGGGGGATTTCGGGACCCGGGTTTGGATTTTTGGGGTTGCTGGGAAAGAAATCATTATATGTGGCGTTTCTCATCTTTCGGTGTTTTGAGCTTAGGGTTTATTCTTGGTTCGTTCTGGAGATGGTATATTGGTATACTTCGTGGGGCATGGGCAAGAAGGGACTGGTGTATTCGAGGGCGTGTTCTGGTTTTGTGGAAGTGTGGGCTATACTGAATTCTTGACACTGTCTTACTCACCTGCGGTCTTGATCTCATATTTATATACAGGTGCAGGATTTAGGGCAAATCATCCAGTTGATACACTTTTTCGGAACCGTTGAAAACTAGAACCTCCCGTTGCGCAACGCCTTGTCCGCGAAATCTCGAAATAGATACTCCCGAATGGAATAAAAGTGATTATATCTCAATACCCAAAAACAACCGCACACAAGGCAGATCATTGATCATCGCTGCTCTGATCGTCCGTATCACTCGTCATGACTGTATCCTCCGCATCCAGCTTCTTCAGCACGGCGTCGCCCTTCTTCCCCTTCTTCTCCGCGGCGAACCACGCCTCCCGGCGCCGGGTCTCGCGCTCCTCCTTCCGCGCCTGGCGGAGGATCTTCTCGCGCTGGGCCTGCTCCTGCTTCCCGTGCAGCTCGTTGATGTAGTCGTGCAGGTTGGCGAGGTCGGCGCGCAGCTGCGTCACCTCGTCCGTGGTGGACTGGCGGGCGGTTTCGTTGATCGTGGCCTTTTTCTTAAGGATTGCCAGGTCGCCTTCCAGCTGGGCGATCTGCGCGTCCTTGGCGAAGGCTTCTTCGTCGGTGATTCCACTGTTTCCGGCATTGCTGGGGGAGCCCTGGTCGAAAGCGGCCAGTTCGGCGAGACCTTCCTCCAGCATCGATTCGGGGAAGTAGGCGTGCGTGAACGCTTCGGTGAATTGGTTGGGTCTGGAGGAGGAAGTGGAGAAGCTGGCGAGGAGGAGATGCGTGCTGAAGGTGTAGTCGGCCGGGACGGTTCCCGACGGCTGGGAGGATTCGGACAATGTGTGGTCGTAGCGGGGTTTGACGATGGTGTGAGACATGCGGGTGAGGTCGAGAGATGGGTATGAGAGACCGTTGGGGGGTAGCATGATGAGGTTCGTGATCGGGTGCGTGTAGTCCGCCACGGTTGACGCGTACTTCTTCCGTCCTACGTTCCAGGATAGGACCTTTCCGTTCTGGTGGCCGGAGAGTAGCGTCATTCCATCATAAGAGAGCGTGAGCGTGTGCGCGGCCCCGCTGTCGGCAGAGGGAGGTGCCCATCGGTCTTCGGCGGAGGGCTGAACGGGAGTGGAATGCAGAGAGGGGTCGTGAAGCGGATGTTGGATGGATTGGTTCTTGTAGAAGTCGACCGACTGGATGCTGCCATCTGCGTAGCCGACGTAGAACGCTCGGTCAACGGGGTCGAGGGTCAGGCATGTTGCATTGGCTGACAGGAGATACGTGCGCAAAAGACGGCCGGTGCGATAGTCCCATGCAATCGCAGTGCTGTCTTCCGCAATCGAAACGGCAATGTTGTATCTGCCGGCGCTGTGGCCCACGGCGATAGAGGTGATGGCGGCGCGGTGGTTCGAGAAGGTACGGATCGGGGAATTCGGAGCTTGACGATCACGGCCAGACGGAGGTTTTGTGAAAGAGAGGAGGTCAACGAGCGACCAGACGTGGATGCTCGCATCAGATGAGCCGGAGAGAATGAAGTTGGAGGTAGGGTCGACCACTAGGGAGGTTACCGGCCGCAGATGGGATGCGGTGGTTGCTATTTGTCGACCAGTGCATGTCTGATTGACAAGGCGCCCATTAGCAACAAGCTAAGCAAGAAGTCATAAATGATATATCCTCAAGCACGACTCACCTCCCACAAAATAAGACGGCCACCTTCTGTGCCCAAAACAACGACATCCCCATTTTTACCCCCAGCGAGTGCGATACTACGTATGCGCTCCGGGAAGGGGATTGTGGCCTCCTGGTTGCCCTTCTCCCTGCTATATACGTGGACAATTGCCTTCTCCGACTGTGCAGCAAACACATGCGACGGGCTCACAGCCAGGCAATTGGCCGCCGTCGAGCTCTTCTTGAAGGTGGAGCGCAGATTAAGTGTGGGCTGAAACTCGTGCACGCAGATTCCGACATCTCTTAGACTAGCAGACGCCGGGGTCTTCCCCGACGCCACAGTCGACGCAATAAAACACTCCGAGAGCATAACGTATCGATCCACGCAAGGAACTTGGAGCACGAATGGGAGATCTCAAGTCAACGTCTCTCTCTCTCTATCGCTCTCCGAACTTTTTTTTTGAGATACGCCAATCGATAACCGGCTGGTTTGCACTGTTTGCTTGGTTCAAGCTAACTAACTAGTTATGCATGAGTCTAGTGATTATGTCAGCCAGCATAAGGAGGCTCAATTATCCCTGTGCTTCCTCGTACTCTACTTCGTACTGTACAAACAAAATCTCATGATCTCATCTTCCTCCCTCCTTGGATGATTTCTTGGTGAGCGACAGTCCCTTCCTTGGTCTCCTAGTTCCCCTAGTATCCCTCGTTACTGACGAATCTGGAACAAGCACAGCGAGCTCCTTGGGATCTACGACTCCTGTACAACCACTGCCAAAGTAGCGTGTATAGCTGCGCGCAGCTTCACCACCTCCAAGAACTTTTGGTGGCACACATGGAATTGCTGGCCTCCCAATGGTATCTCTGGTCCATCTAAGCCAATCTGCGATCTCCGCCCGCCGCAGTCAAGCTGGAATCCTCCCACCTGCTACTTAAATTGCGCTCAGCGTTGAGGCAGCATGGGCCAATCTAAGGGCTGCGCCTACGGCAACCGATGCAAGGGGCTTATTTCCAGGGGCCGGCAACCTGAGATTGCCCGGCGCAACGTCTATGTTGATTAGACAGCCGCACAGAGGACCTTGTGACGTTCGCCAAAGGACTGGCACAGACGCCCTCCATCTGCATGTCTCATTCCTTTCTAATAGACGATATGCAAACCCAGAAAGAGAGCGCGGACCACCCACGTTGCCCTGTGCCTGCAGGTGGCGCACGTCCGGACCTTGGCCCAATGACTGTGCCTACTTCACGATCCCACCTCTCTCTGGTATGCAAGGAAATGGGCGTAATGGCCCTTCACTCTTCACCTATGTTCCAGAGTGTTAGACGACCCTCCCACAGGGGGCGAACACGCATGCCCAATGTCTTTTTCCCTGTCACCGCAAGGCAGTCAAGGGATACTTGAGCCGATGTGAAGCCCTGGTATAAGGTCTGGTGGGCCGCTTCAGCGCTCATGTTATGGTTTTCTTTCCGTTCCCTTTCTTTAATTGCTGTTAAAGGAACGGCATTAGATCTGACTGACCCTTTAGCCTTCGTTGCTCATCATATTGACCTAGCAGCCATGTCTTCGACGGACGGCCATTCCGTCAAGATGCAGTTTCATCTGCAAGAACACAATTACCACCATGCAATATCTGCAAATCTCCCAACATTTGTCAACAGGAGCGTACCAAGCTACAGTGTACCGAATCATGTTCTCAATGTGAGAGGTAACAAATCGTCGTCGCCCCGGTACTCGCCCAATATCCAACCTTGGAAGAGACAGCAGGCCCCGAGCTCATTGTCATTTGTTCCTTCGCCATCGCCCCGCATTGAACAACCAGAATATACCACGGCGCAACCACGGACCAGTTCGGAACGCCCTCCTGTGTACATGTCCCCTTTCCGCTCGGTGCGCAAGATGAAGCAGCCATTTGAGCTGCGTCTGCCGTCCTCTCCTTCCACGGAGAGCCTTGCTGCAAGTGGCAAAGAGTCCCCATTGTCTCAAAAACCATCCAAGACTAGGACGCTTCGCCCATGGCGTTCAGATCAGAATCTCCGAGTCACGAGCATCGACTCTTTTGGTCTTCTGCCCAGCCCGCCTCTGTCAGACACCAGGTCACCACACGACTCACCTTCGTTCTATTTTTCGCCAAAGCCGGGATCGGAATCGGACTACAGTCAAAAGAGTCCCAATGGCTGTGGCTGCGTTGCAGGCAGAGAATCGTGTCGCGATTGCTACACCTCTCCTCAAAGCGAACCACGACAGGCTCCCAAAGACGTCAAAGGGACCCCGCATGTACGCATGGCGCACTCACATCTAGCCAGACAATGCGAAATAAGCGATGGGCAATTGACGCCTGCTTCAACCTACTCGGAGCGCATGTCATCGCCAGCTCCTTATTCCGACTGTGAACCGATTGGAAAAAGGAATTTCTCTAACTCATCCATTGGCGCAGGGAGGAGCAGATCAGGGACGGTGTCTAGTGATGGAAGTTGGGCTCCCAGCAGCTTGTCATACTGGGAGCCTTGGCTCCAGCGTGCGCCAGTGGAGGGCGCAGAGGGCCAGGGCGAGAGGCTCAAGGAGCTGAATCGACGAAGGATACAGATTGTGCAGAAAAGCCCTCCACCTCCTCCACGGAAAGTTGAATTGAAAGCAGCTAGACCGGCAGTGAGTCTTCTCTCAGAACACGAGTAGCATGAAACTGACCCTGAAACAGATGTACGCGGTAGCAACCAAGACGAAACCCAAGTTGGTTGATATATCACGCCAGTCGTCCCCGGCAATGAGCTACTCGCTCCCAACGCCACAGCATCCTATTCCATCCACTCCTGATCAAGGTCAGCAAGAGATATCAGCCTTCAGTCCCGAAACGCCTCTGGAAATGTCCGACAGCGGGTATATCACACATCACTCATGCTATTCACCTAACGACTATCCCCACGCCAAGGCTCCAGTTGAGGAGGACGAGGACGATGATGAAGAAGACGAAGACGACGATGATGTGTACACAGACATCAGCTCTGTCGCTTCCGAGACTGTTGGTGAGACCATGATCGACACCAAGTCGGCTCCCAGCCCAGAACTACCCAAATCGTCACCCAAGCCAGAGGTACCACCAAAGTTTGCTGCGTCTGTCCAGGTATCGCCCGGCCGTTCCTCAACCTCCACCAAGTCGGAGAAGGAAGAGCTGGAGAAGTGGTGGGACCACGAATGGACTATCGAACAGCTGGAGCTGTCTGTCAAAGACTTCCCACGGAACATGCTCCGCCTTACATCACCCGTCATCATGTTTCTTCGCCATAATAATGAGAGGGCCCTTTTGCGGCCTTTCCGCACCATCTTCCCCAGCGTTGCTGAAAACCTGCTGGACGGCTTATGTGCCGCTCTGATTGCACGGAACTATGTTGTCTCTTTGGCAACTACCCACCAAAGGAAGAGTCAGCTCAACCAACGATCGCGGCTGGACACAGTCCCGGAAAAGGCCACCGCAGTGTCAGGGACTACCAATCATACCACCCCATCACGTCAGGTTCTTGAAACACGCAGCATGCAGCTTCGCAAGGACCTGGATAGAATTGTCGAAAAAATGCTCTTCGCTATATGCGGACAGGCGGAGGAGCATCTGAAAAGCGCCGTACTTGTTCTCGCCCAAGTGCTCGAAGCGAAAAACTAGGCGGTCACTCATTCAACCTTTTTCCTTGCTGTCTTTTCCTTCTTAACGCACCGATCCCCCTTATTCCCATAACCCATTTGAGATTCTTTCATACCTCCCCATTTCCTCGATGAGCCAGTCTTCCTGACTATACCACTCGTTCTGTCAAGTTCATGTCGGACTGCATTGCTGCCATTCTCTTGTCCCACTTCACTCACTCCGAATTCTCCTGGTGGCCTGTCACCGTCTAATCTCTTTACGTCTGCTACTCTTTGATTTGCTTATGAATTCACTCCGATAGCCACTACGGTTGATGTATAATTTCTAGTGGTCCCCAGTACCTAGACTCTAATGATACCCTGCCAACCTGAAACATGTCACGAACATCTCCACCACCGTACTGTAAGCCAACCATAGCCCTCTATAGAGTATAGACACCCTGAATACAGCCAGGAGAGCCACCAGGGAGGGATCAATTAATCAGCATGAACCTTGCGTCCTGAAGGGGATTAGTGGGCATGCAGCGGCCAACCTGAGTCAGCCGCCGGCGGAACCGCAGCCGAACTCCGATATCAGCTTGAATGTTTCCCGCGGAATCGAAACTACCTACCAGTGCATTATCTCTTCTTCTAGGCCTTCCTCCCTTTCCCTCTTCTTTGCTTCAGAAACAAAGATTCCCCATACACAAACCTCGATGATGGCAGCTCCCTCCACGAACCGCCTACGGCTCCTCTGCTCGTCCCGGCGAGTGACCACCGCCACTCCCAGCAGCACATTCCTCACCCGCAGCTACGCCACGACCGAGCCGTCCTCCGCCACCGACAGCAGCACCAGCACCACGACGACCCCACGCCGGCGCACCACCTTCACCGACCGCCTGAACTCGGGCCCCTCCTTCTCCGACTTCGTCTCCGGCGACGCTGCCGCCGACACCATCGCCGACCCGAATGAAGCCTATGCGCTGAAGACGGCGCTGGTCGGCCCCGCGGGCCGCAAGAAGGAGATGACGCGGCTGCCGTCGTGGCTGAAGACGCCGATCCCGGACTCGAAGAACTACCAGCGGCTGAAGAAGGATCTGCGGGGGTTGAACCTGCACACGGTGTGCGAGGAGGCGCGGTGCCCGAACATCTCGGACTGCTGGGGGGGCGGCGACAAGGCGGCGGCGACGGCGACGATCATGCTGATGGGCGACACGTGCACGCGGGGGTGCCGGTTCTGCAGCGTGAAGACGCAGCGGCGGCCGCCGCCGCTGGACCCGCACGAGCCCGAGAACACGGCCGAGGCGATCAGCCGCTGGGGGCTGGGGTACGTGGTGCTCACGAGCGTCGACCGCGACGACCTGGCCGACGGCGGCGCCCGCCACTTCGCCGAGACCGTCATCAAGATCAAGACCAAGGCCCCCAGTATTTTGGTAGAATGTCTGACCGGCGACTACATGGGCGATCTGGAGATGGTCAAGCTGGTCGCCCGCTCCGGGCTGGACGTCTACGCCCACAACGTCGAGACCGTCGAGGCCCTCACCCCCTTCGTCCGCGACCGCCGCGCCACCTTCCAGCAGAGTCTGCGCGTCCTCGACGCCGCCAAGCAGGCCCGCCCCGACCTCATCACCAAGACCTCCTTGATGCTCGGCTTCGGCGAGACCGATGAGCAGATCGCCGATGCCCTGCGCCAGCTGCGCGCGGTGAATGTGGATGTCGTCACGTTCGGCCAGTACATGCGCCCCACCAAGAGACATATGGCCGTCCACGAATATGTCACGCCCGATCGCTTCGAGATGTGGCGCCAGAAGGCCCTGGAGATGGGCTTCTTGTACTGTGCATCCGGCCCGTTGGTCCGCAGCAGTTATAAGGCTGGTGAGGCGTTCATCGAGAATGTCCTGAAGAAGAGGCGCGCCGGGGGTACGGTGGGCGCCGAGCCCGTCGAGAAGAAGGTCTCCGTTGACGAGATCGCTCGGTAAATCAGCAGCGTCTCGTTTCTTTCTTGTGTGTGTGCTTTGGTATATCGGTTTCCTCCGGCGTAGGGTTAGCATGATCTGTTTTCGGTCTCGGTTTCACATTCGACTATTCTGGTATCTGGTTTCCACACGGGGTGTGCTGTGCTATGCTACTACTACTTTCTACATAGACCCTAAAACTTCAATCCCGGCTGATCGGCTGATGGGGTTGGTTGGCTGTCAATCAAACATAATTTCCATACATGTATGTTCATTTCAATGAGATATTGTCAACGTATCAACAAGCTATCAAATCGAGCATTATGACTCGCATAATGATCCTAATCGGCCGTTCAATTAACCAATCCGTAGTGCTGCAGCCTTCTGCTGCATACCTTGGAATGTACCCACTTGCTTCCTGGTTCACGCCAACCACAAATGTAATCAATCTTACTCGTTCGTTCTAACTCATGACTCTCCAAAAGCGTGGCTTGATGATGGCATGACAGAGACCCGGTTGGATGGGCATTCTCAAGCCGAGCCTCGGGCTATAAAATCAAAGAAAAAAAAGGTATTGCAAGAAAATAATCAAGAAGAAAAATCGACCGAGATTGTTGTTGCGTGGAGATATCTGAGCGAGAAAGTTTGAAAATGAGGAAATTCGCTCTTCAATGTGTCGTTTCCATGTGTTCCTTGCCGAGTAGTTGGTGGGAAAATGATGGTCCATTCGATCGTTCGGTCATAGACAGTATTTACAGACTCCAGGCCTTGTGTCGTGACCGAATTATACGAGCAGTTCTTTGACATCATCCCGATTGAGTCCAAGCAGGTACAGGATGTCTACGAGGCTCTCTCCGTTGAGACGAGTAGGGGCCTCAAGCTGGACCTTGCTCTTGGCGCGCCAGGCAACTCCAAGCCCAGCCGCGTGGAGCATGAGGAGGTCATTGGCACCGTCGCCCACAGCAACGACCTGAGAGATCGGGATTCCGTTCTGCTCCGCGATCGAGTGCAACAGCGTGCGTTTCTGGGCCGCGTCGATGATCGGGTATGATGGCACCAGCTTGCCCGTCAAGGTTTGTGTGGTGGGGTCGATTTCAAGCTAGCAAGGTCAGTTACTGTGCTACCCGGGCGGAACACATGAAAATTAAGGTCACGTACATGATTAGCAAAAGCATAGTCGAGGCCAAGCTCGCCAGCAAGCCACTCCGCCAAAGGCTGGAAACCTCCGCTCAAAACTGCCATCTTGCAGCCAAGAGTCTTCAAGGCCTTGCACAGCTCGCGTGCGCCAGGGGCGATGGTGATGATCGACTTCAGCTTCTCGAAGACGTCTGCGGGGACACCCTTCAGTAGGGAGACCCGCTCCTTCAAGGATGCAGAGAAGTCGAGTTCACCGTTCATAGCACGGGCCGTAATTTCCTGTCGGCTCGGTCAGTACAAAATTTCTTTGAACCACAGCATTCGACCAGGACTGACCGAAACTTCCTTCTCGACACCGATGAACTTGGCAATCTCATCGATGACTTCGTTCTGGATTAGTGTGCTGTCCATATCGAAGACAAAGAGGCGCTTGTGACGACGGAAAACACTCTCCCGTTGAAGTACGACCTCGACATTCCATTCCCGCTCGAAACGCCAGATGCTTTCATGTTTGCGAAGGTCTGCGAAGGTCAGGTATTCCGGGTTGGGGGGCGGGGAGAAAGTGACTTCCACCACCCGAGGATGCTCATTAGCCTCCAGGCAACGGTGTGAGGTGTTCGTGCGCTGGTAGGGTGTCGGAAGAGACTCGATGATCTGAAGGAAGTTGGTCAGGCATAGTTGCGACACAAATGGGCCGTACAAATGGTCGAGAGGCTCGGGCTCCGGCGCAGGGGGCTCCCGAGGGAGTTTCTCGATGTCGATGGTGGGGGCAGAACCGACGGGGACGGTGGGCGAGGGCAGCGTATCTCCCGGCTTAGCATGCGGGGAGGAGTCGGGGTGCAGGTGAGGATGAATGGGATCCGCAGATTTGTAGAAGATAGTCGCGACCAGTTGCTGAGTACCAGTCTGCAGGGGGTTGGCGTGGGAGTGAAACATGCTGTGGATGATGCCGCTCTCAGTCACCTTCTCAGGGTCGGGACTGATAGGATTCGCCTTGAGGGACAAGGACGCGAAGGAGGACTCAGGGACATTCCCAACATTTCCAGCGTTCCCAGCATTTCCAATCACATTGCCGATAGTCTGGATGGGAACCGAGGGCTTGTATTGCTGGTGATCCTGAATGAAGGAGCTGCTGGAAAGTGTCTGTCGCAACACGGGCCGGGTTGGACGGGAGTTGGCGGGGTTAGGCGAGGCCATTGTTGAGGAGCGGTTGATATCTCGGGACTAAAGGAGATTGATTAGATGCGCGGAGAAGGAAGGCTGGCTCAAAGTGGAGTGGAGAGGGGATGTGATGGAAGGCCCTAGACGATCAAGACAGCCCACCAGCCGGGAAATCAACCCTGGAGAAGCAGAGACAGCAGCAAGGCGGACGAGTCAAGAAAAAAAGCTGGCAAGCCGTTGTCGAGGTTCGTCGGTCGCTTTTCCCCTGCAGCATCCATTGGGGATCGGCGGGCACGTGGGGAGAAATGTCACATGATGAGCCGGGCCGAGGGGAAAAAGATGCCAGTTGGTGGGCTTGACCGCCCGGCAGAAATTATGATGGGTCCTTCATTCATTCACAAGCAGGCATCATCATCATCATCATCATCATCTTTGCCTCATTATGTGGGGTAGATAGATGTTTGCTATGCAAAACAACAACCACAGACTACTCCCACCATGACTAACTCAACCAGTACTCGAGTACGAGTACATGTACTTGAGTAATCGATCGGTGGATAATCATGGAAGATCAGGGTGGTCTGTCACATTTAATAATCATCATTCTTCTTCGTTCGACGCTAATTCGTTTTCACAGCCCACGGGGAGCAAGGTGTCCTTGATCCTTGACACTTTGGATAGACCTGCACCTGCTGCGGGAAACGGAGTACTTTGATGGACCATGATTGATTTAATTTAATTATGATTAATCATGAGTCTAATCTACATCATTCGTCTCTGTTCGTCTCTCCGCCGAAAGTTCCATCAGCCAAGTGAGACAACCGGGATTCCTCCTCGGCTTTCGCGATTTATCAGATTTATCAGCAGAAGCTGACCAAAACGGCTGAGATAAGCCGCCCCGGGGAAGCGCAGGCACCGGCAGTGCAAGTATTGCGTGATTTCCCCAGAAGCCGAGAGAAGGATTTTTTCTGCCCTTCTCCCCATCGGGCAAGCGGTCACAGGCGATGTCGTGATCGCGAGCCCTGCAGAATGGCCCAGCAAGTATGGAGGGAAGAGGGCGAAAGGGAGAACGGACTCCCCGTTTTCCCGATGATGTCGTGATTGCCCCTGCCTGGTCCCTCTTATATCGGAGTCCTCGAATTCGTCCTCTGTTGTGTCTTGTCTACAGCAATCCTCGCCTCCTATCCCTTCTCTCGCCTAATCCGAATCATACTTCTTCAGGCCTTTCTCATTATCATACAAATAGACTTGTCTACTTTCGTCTTCTCCTCAATTCCATTACTTAACTTCTATCGCCTTGCTCCTCTCTCTATATTAGCACTACTCCTAGTCAAGATGCCTGCCAAGATGTCTGACAACTACCCCTCTGATGGCGAGGCCATTGACTCCAGAGACTCTGGCTATGTCAGTGGCAGCTCGAGTGATGACTATTCTCCTGAGATTGTCTTCACCAAGCCACACTTGAAGTTCCTCAACAGACAATTGCAGTTCCTCGAGCCTCAAGGTCAGTCCGAGTTGTTCTGAGATAGCCCTGGACCAAGTAACTAACAAAATCGATCAGACGTCCTGAGATGGTGTGTCACTTCACTGCCTCACCTTTACCAGACCACTGCCTTTGGCTTGACTGGTCTGGTCACTATCGATATGTTGTCCAAGTTGGCTGTGCCCCGGCCTCAGATGGTCGACCTGATCTTCCTCGATACCCTCCACCACTTCCCCGAGACCTTGGCTCTGGTCGACCGCGTCCGTGAGAAGTACCCTTTGAACACCATCCATGTCTACAAGCCCCAAGGCTGTGAGACCGAGGAGGACTTCGCCAAGAAGCACGGTCCCCGCCTCTGGGAGAAAGATGACCAGTTCTACGACTGGGCTGCCAAGGTTGAGCCCGCCCAGCGCGCCTACCGTGAACTTAACGTTCACGCCGTCCTCACTGGCCGCCGCCGTAGCCAGGGTGGCAAGCGTGGTGACATCGACATCATTGAGGTTGACGAGGCTGGCTTGATCAAGATCAACCCTCTCGCCAACTGGTCCTTCGATCAAGTCAAGCAGTACGTCAAGGAGAACAACGTCCCTTACAACGAGCTCCTCGACCGTGGCTACAAGAGTATCGGCGACTACCACTCCACCCAGCCCGTCAAAGAGAACGAGGATGAGCGTTCTGGGCGCTGGAAGGGCCAGGCCAAGACCGAGTGTGGCATCCACAACCCCCGCTCCAAGTATGCACAGTACCTCATGGAGATGGAGCGTAAGCGCCAGGAGGAAGCCATTTCGCAGGCTCTCCAGACCTCCCTCACGACTTCTGCTCAATGATTCCATCCCGAGATCTGATTTTCTCTCTTTGCATATACCACGGCGTTCACATTTCATCGGAGGTTTAGCGGAGTTCACATAGCCTTGATATCACTCTTCTGCTCTTTACATACGACTTGCTGTTCCCTGGGCCTGGAATCTTGGGACATTATGTGTCATGAATTTTTCTGTCTGCTGCTTTTTATCCAAATGTACATAATGGGGACCGAAACTCATCCGCCCAACCCTGATCCTTCGGGACTACTGTACATACCGGGTCGGCGGAGAAATTTACAAAAGCACTCGGTACTTTAATGACTGCAATACATCATTCTATTTCAAGAAATTCTTTTCACATGTCACTAAATATGTTGCTTCCTCTGTTGGCTAGGAGCAGTATACGTACCCTTGTACCCACTAATTATGGTGCGGCCACGGTGGGGTTCTGTACCACGCAGGGTTTTCGTCTGAGACATTGAGCAATAAGCGGTGTATTCCCAACTAATCCCTCTCATATCGTATCTTCCGCAACTGGGAATCCTTTTGTGTATCTTCGCGGCAATAGATAGCTTTTGTAGACAGGAACTACAGTGATTTACATGCCCATTTGCAATCAGCAATCCTGCAGTGACTTTCCTCTTTTCTTCGCTGAAATCCATCTCAAAAGAGGCGTTGTGAGGGTCTAAATGCTGTCGCAGTCACCCCCAGGATTTATGTTTTCCTGCACGTGAGCACAAGAATGAGCTCGAGGTTGTTGGTATTTCATTCGAGATCGACAGCAACACAGCATTGTCTTTACACTTAAGCACTCCGAGATGAGTTTGGGCTTCTAAGACAGTTTTGATGGGCGATCGCCAGTCGATCCTGGCTATACTAATGGTGTGATCAACCGACAACTTGGCATGGGATTGAGACATTCTGACACACCCAGGGATCTTATCTTATCAATCTCATCTGTTTGTAGAGAAGGGGTTACTGTACCGACCAAGTCGTGCACACTCTCAGCCACAGACACATCTACACACTTCATGGACAGAAAGCAAAACCAGCCCAATTGATTGCTTTTGCGTGATGAACAGAGGTTGGATTAAGGCTTTTGTCCGGACTAACTAAGAAAACACAGGAGGGTCTAGCTCGTCTGGGGTGACGTATACCGAAGGGTCTTGTATCCACTGTGCAACAGCCGTGTCAAGCCACGACGAACAGCACAACCCTATTGCTGGACCATGATATCCAAAAGACTTCTGGTATTGGATGGACCATGGGGACATTGCCTGCGAATCCAGCCTGATCTCTTGATGCTACGCACTACATGTCATATACTGCTGATCCATGGCAGCAGCAGCTCCTGGGACGTACGTAAGCTGAGAGTTGGGGCATGTCTACCACCTGCTTTGAAAGAACTTTTAAGGGATTTGGTTTTCAAATTGCAACGGTGCCAGATCTGTGGGTGACGCATCTCAGGTTTCCAGATGTCAGCCGTGTGCTGTGCCGCGTTGGACCCTGAGACCCTGGACTAGGCAGTCACGAACCTCAACGGAGTGAGATGGACAGTTCCATCTGCAGGCCGCAAGGCTCAAGCGCGTTGAGGTCACCTGGGGATGGTTTGGATGAACCCCATGTCTCGGTAGGGTCTATGTGCTACCAACCCTGTCGACATAAATGCCTGGTATCGCATCATTTCTAGAAACTCGTGATACTGCCCACCCCAACCTCGACATTCAGAGAGATAGATTCGCCCAGTAATGTTTCCTGGCTCTCATGGTCATGGATTCATGTCCTTAGACACGGTATTAGGCTCTTAGTCAATAGTTTTTTCATGAATGCAAACTAGACTCGATGATATGGTGTTGAATGCAAGTAAAGGTTAGGGCAAGCGGGTCACCTGAGCAGCAACGTGCCAAGATCCGCCCCGCGGATCAAGAAAAAAAAATCCCCTCCCCGATGGCGTCAGCGATCACGCAAGCCGGACTGGGGATGTCGTGATTGTTCTGGGTACCCACGTGACCCACTGAGCCTAGGATCGGAGACGGGGAGGGGTTCAACTTGGAGATTGACACCTGAAGGAAGCCTGAGCCGATCCGCCGATCGGAGGAGGCTCCTCCCAGCTTCGTTTCATCTCGGCTTTAAAGGTTGCATGAGGATCGTCTCGGAGCATCGCAATCATTCTGTCGGGATGCTGGGGCGCTTTCCCTCCGACACATCTATCTACGTGTTCATGTTGAACACCCCTGAAAATCATGGCTTCTTACGGGTATAACGGGCCTCCATGCTTGCCTCGGATTGCCGCCGTGGGAGATTATGTGGCTGATACTGGAGGTGCACGATGACGACGCTGGTGCTTTTTCGGTTGCTCAGATCTCCGAGGGACTCGTGTCTTCGAGCAATTAGGGGGGTTGTGGGGTAGAGGAGGAAGTCATGGACGGATGGGTGGATGGATGGGTGGATGGATGGGTGGTAATGAATCGATTGATACTTCGTATAGTTCAGAGATCCTCAAGCAAACAAAGATGTGCCTTCTAGAAGCCGGCTAGAAATAAGGGTACAGGCATAGCATGCTCAGAGCCTGGAATGGCGCAATCGGAGGCAGAAATCCGTGCGACGGAGGGGCAAAAAGGCAAAATGAAAAAAAAGAAGAAAAAGAAAAAGAAAGTCAGGTACATCCATCATAGAGTTTACAGTTTACAATTTCACCTCGACACAACAATTGACAAAGTGACGAGGATAACATACGTAGACCCTCCCCG